CGGGACAAGCACGAGGGCACACATGCACTCCAAGCTCCGTTCAACTTGTGCATCCCAACACGTTCAATAAGAAGTATTTTTATTTCTAGTCTCTTAGGCAGTACAGAGGGTAACAGTAAAGGGGAATAAGAAAAAAAAACGAGGAGGGGGAGTTAAGGATTTTTTTGTGTCCAAAGTGTCCAAAGAGCCCCTGGCAGTGGAGCCCGACGTTGTGCTGGTGCGGGGCCTGCGCTGGGCAGTGCTGACCGCACAAGCACGAGGACCTGGCCAGCATGGATGGGACCAGTGCTGCATGCAGGTTTTCCACGGAGAAGGCGCAGGGCTGTGCGCCGGGCACGGCTCCGCGCTCCCCAGCCGCACTCCTCGCTGCTCCGCAAGCGGCACGAGCAGCTARCGCTGCCGGGGAGGTCGCTGCAAACCCGCGTCTCCCGCACCCCACGCACCCCGTGCTCCCCGCGCCCCGGCACAGGGATGCGCTCCTTCCGCAGCCCCGGCCGGCGGGATGCGTGCCCGCACTTCCCGCTCGGTTTCCTCTTCCTGAAAACACTGTTCCTTTGTACCCCGCAGCTGGCAGCGGCAAAACAGAAATTCACCGGTGGAGTCTGCTGCATGGGATGTATTTTTAATAATGTTTTCATACCCGGTTTCCTTCTGAAAACACATTGTCTAATCAAGGCAACCCAAACAATAAGCCTTTTTTCCCCCCCCCATCTCAGTGTCTGTTAGAACTGATCCGGCCGCTCCTTCACCAGCTGAATATTCCTCAGTGGTTTTACATTATAATTCACGAAGCCAAGGCAGCGCTGGGTAAAAGGCATGTTTCTAAATAATGCATCATTTCATCTGGGGCTATAAAAAGAAACAAATGGRGCTTCCTCCAGCAGACCTGGAGGGAGGCTGCTGCGCACGGCTCTGTTGTGAGAAAGAGAAGACCAAAATCTCATCAGCTCCAAGCGCGTAATCGACCCCTGGCCCAAGGAGGCCCAGCACCACTATGTCTCTCACCCCCTCCAGATAAACCCCCAAAGATATAAAACATTCTGCTTTTGTAAAAGTAAAACCACTGTCTCAGAACGAGCAGGAACAAAGGCCCAGGGCGGTGCTGGGTCCAAAGGAACAGAAACACTCGAGCCTATCTGTGCTGAGGGACACAGTCCCCAGAACCCCGCACGTGTTTCCRCCCCAGTCTCCCTGTTGTGGATCACTGCGCGTCACCACTACAAGGAGCCCTCGTRGATCGTCAGGTTAATCACCACGCAGCAGGATGCAGTGACATCAGTCAGTTGTCAGGGCCATGTCCAAGGCCAGGGTGTTTTCAGTCCCATGCACGGAGGTGCCAAGGAAAGAGGGAAGCACAGGGTGCGAATTKCCCTGACCTCTGCTATCCCGCAGCCCAGGTGGGACTCGACGCGGGGCTGGAAAGAGYCGAGTGGTCCCAAGTGATCCCAGCAGCGCTGGAGCCACCGAAACACGGAGCCTGACAGGTCTGCGGGGCTGGCCTCACTGCTGAGGCCAATAAACATAGCAAAGATAAAGGCAGGACAGGACAAGGCGCTGCACACAGCGCCCTGGGACYGGCAGCAGCAGCACTGCCTTGATGGATGCTCTGTTCCTGGAAGCCAGTGGCAGCAGGAGGCTTCAGGCACACAGGGAGGATCGCCTGGCACCACCACACATGGTCACACACCGCCCCGCACCGCCTCGCATTGCCATGCACCACCATGCACCCCCACGCATCATCACACGCTACCACGCACCGCCTCGCACCCGCGCTCCCCGCCACGCACCGCCACGCTGTTTCGCACCGGCTCTCGCTGGCCCGCGTTATTCCCGTGTGTCCCGGCCCCCGCGCCGGGCAGGATTCCCCAGGGAAGCCGCCTCCGCGCAGGAAGAGGCCCCCTGGGCATCCCTCTCCTCCGCTCCGGGCCGCAAATCCCCGCCCGCATCCCGAGGCCTCCCCGGGGACATGGGCGGCGGCGCCGGCAGCGCTGCCGCGGATGGGCCGGGCGAGCCGAACCGAGCGGAACCGGGCGGCACCGAGCGGCACCGAGCGG